GACAGTATGTTAATTTCATTTTTCTGTTTATTGTTTAAAAAATTGATGTAGTGTAGTATTTTCCTGGCAGAGGAACTCAGGTGTGTGGGACACAGGACTGAGATCTCCAAGCCTGCTCGGTTCGGGACTGGGCCTTCCAGTAGTGAGACAATGTAACCCCATCAACGGCCAGGATCCAGAGACTATAACACCAAGCTCCCAGAAGTGCGCGGCCGCATTTGCAGCCACATGTCTTCTTATTCTCTAGTTCTCGCTTTCAGAGAACCCGGCAGTAGCTGGTAGGCTACTGAGAGTATCATACCAGCACATATGCCTGAATAGGAACACCTGTAAAGTTTATTTGTCTTTTCAGGCTACTGAGAATATCCCACCCACATGGTAGAGCCTGGAAAGCTATCCGTGGTGTATTCAATATGCCAAATCCAGTAGATACAATGGTTCTCATTCTCCTGACCTGGAATACGGCAGCATTAAGAAGGATGTGGAAGGAGAGACTGATAAAATCTCAAGACCGAACTAGACTGCCAAAACGAAGAAAGACAAAAATGACTGACTGTACTTTCAATGCACATATGCTGGCATCTGATGCATCAGTCGAGGACCTGATGGCACAAGCGTGAAAAATCAAGTACAACATCATTGGTTTGACTGAGATGAGAAGGTATCAAACGTCACACCATTTTCGACCCTGGAGGAGAACTGTTCCTTGGAACATGCAACAAAAGAGGCATCGGTGGTGTTGGTGTTCTTGTCAACACGAACTGAGCCATGAGCATTGATTCATTGGAATGCCTAACAACACAAATCAGAAGATTGCACTTGAATAGATGTGGCTCACAGCCGGCAGTTTCTATCTTTGTTGTCTACGCACCAACATCCAATTATGATGAAGGAGAAATTGAGAAGTTCTACATGGATCTGGAGAAGTTCTATAAAGAAGACCACACCTTCTACAAGATCATTGTTGGTGATTTTAATGCCAAGATAGGACCAAGAAGATCATTGGGACATTGGGACGCATGGCCTAGAATGGAACAAACAGGGTGACAGACTGTCTGAGTTTATCATGTTGACCAAGACCACCCATGGTAACTCACAGTTCCAGAAGGCCGAATCTAAACGTTGGACATGGGAGTCTCCTGGTGGATGGTTCCACAATGAAATTGACCACATCATATTCAATTGACAGTTTTTCTTGACTGATGTCACTGTTATCCCAAAATTCCAAACGGGATCGGACCACCATCTCCTTTGTGCAAAATTCTACTTCACAGAGCGGGGAGAAAGGAATGCAAAGTTTAAGAAGAGAACTCCCAGAATGACCACCAACTGAGAGCTCTTTGGCTCTGTTGTGGCAACATGGGAAGATGCTTTCATTGACAACATTGATGAGGAATACAATCAACTGGTTCAGCGCCTCCATGATCGTGCGAGGAACACCGAGAGAGATAACCACAAAAAAATGCCTGTCTTCGAAAACTTTTTAAAAAAAATTTTCATTAGTGAGACAACATGAGGTATAGTTGTAGACTTACAAATTTTTTGTGCTTGGGTTTCAATTATACAATGATCAAATACCCATTCCTCCACCAGTGCCCATTTTCCACCACCACGGATCCCAGTATCCTTCCCACCCCCCATCTCCCACATCCCACCCTGCCTCTGTGGCAGGGCATTTCCTTTTGGAAAACCCTTGAGCTTATTCGCCAACGTGGCTTGGTGCATGCCTCAGGCAACCGCAAGCGAACATCCGAGCTTGCAAAGCAGTGCAGAGACACGATCAAGGAAGTCCTGAAGGAGACAAGAGCAGCAGTGCTGGTAGATGCGGCAGAAGCCGGGAAAAGCATTTGTAATGCCTGCCTATCCTTCATCCACTACAAGAAAAGATGACTGTCCTCCGACGTCCTGATGGATCTATCACATCTTCAAGAAGGGCATTGGAGATTATTCATGACTTCTACTCAGATCTCTTTAATAGCCACATCCACCTGCCCACATACCAAATTCTGCAGGATGGATATGTCATTCCCAATGTTCTCCCTTTTGAAATCTGACACGCCGTCTCGTTGGTAAAGAAACAAAGAGCACCTAGCCCAGACAAGGTCAGACCTGGACACCTGAAGAACCTACTGTCAGTACTCATCAATACGCTGGCTCGGCTCTTCACACGCTACCTGTCTGAATGCAAGGGCCGACCCGGGTTCAAATCCCAGCATCCCTTATGGTCCCCTGAGCACCACCAGGAGTAAATCCTGAGTGCAGAGCCAGGAGTAACCTCTGAGCATGTCTGGGTGTGACCCAGAAAGCAAAAAATAAAAAAGGACCACATATGAGTAAGGTCATCTAGTAAATGTGTTTCTCCTCCCTACTTCACTTATCATGATCCACTCCAGTTCTAGCCATGTTACAGCAGAGGACAAGTATTCATTTTTTCTTACAACTGAGTAATAGACTATTGTGTATCTATGTAATATCTTCTTTATTGGGCACTTGAGTTATTTCCAGATCTACGTAAACAGAGGTATGCATATGTCTTTTAAAATTAGCATTTTTGTTTTGGGATAGCTACATGTGAATGGAATTGTTGAGTTATATGGTAATTCTATTTTTAATTTTTGAGAAATTTTCACAGTGTTTTGACAGAGGTTGAGCCAGTTTTCTCAGACAGTGGAGAACTACTACCTTTGCCAGCACTTGTTCCTGACATTATGATATATGATGAATATTTTTTCATGTGCCTTTTGGTCAACTGTATGTCTTCTTTGAAATGTTCATTTATTTCTACTACCTAATTCTTCACTTTATTTGTTAATTGGATTTTGGGAGTGCTTTTTTGAGGGAAGGGGCAAACTCCCAAACAGTGCTTAGGGACCTAAGTGTCACCTCTGGTGATAACCCACCAACAGGGTCAAATGGTTCAATGCTTGGCCTGGTGTGGTAATACTACTTGGGTCCAGAGTGCTGGGAGCCACTAGACCCATTCTAGCAATGCTTAGGAACCACCAGGACCATACCTGGCATTGCTAAGGAACTTCCAGGACTGTACGAGGTGGTTCTTAGGGAACCATGCAGTGATGGGGATTGAACCTGGGACCCTTTGCATGCAAGCTATCTATTATATTCTTTGAGCTTTGTTGCTAGCTCTTTTGTGAGTGCTTTTTATTTATATCTTTGTCAGACATGTAAAATGCCATCCAGGTATACTTAAATTTGGTGCATTGGCCTTGCCAAACATTTGTAACCTCACGACACAGGACATTATTCAGTTCTACCTGACCTTGCACTATAAAGTTGCGGCCAGAAGCTGACAAATATAAATCCCATGGTAACTAACAGGTCTCCTAGGTGCTATCTATAACTGGCTTATATATTTTAGACAATAATCCTTTATGAGATAATTCATAAATATTTTCTACCAGTCTGTGGCTTGCCTTCTCATTATCTTGGTAGTGAAATTTTTTGTTTGTTTTTGGGCTACACCTGACTTGGAGCTCAGGGATCACTCTCAGTGGGCTCAGGGGACAATATGGCGTGCTGGGGATTAAACCCAGGTCAACCTTATGCAAAGGCAAGCACATTACCCACTGTACTATCTTTCTGGTCCTTTCTTGTGATTTTAATGAAGTGTGATATGACTTTAAAGGTGTGACTTTCTGTATTTTCCAGTCTTGTTAATTTATCTGTTTATTTGTCTTTAAAAATTATCAAAATTATCTCAGTTATGATAATTTTAATCTTATATAATCATAAAATCAGGTGGTTTGACTCATTTTAATTTCTTCTTTTGAAAATTGTTTTGGCTATTACACTTATTGCTTTTTACACATAAATTTTAGAAAAAACAAAATGTAAATATATATCTAGTGTATATATTATTATTTGTTTTTTTTTCCATTTTTTACTGAAAGATTTTATACTTTTAATAGAACTTACCACCACTATCAAAGTTATTTTATCATCTCACCATCAAAACGATTCCCTTAGGAACAGGACTGTGGCTCAGTGATAAGTACATGTCTTGGAATCAGTTCCTGGCACTGCCCCCCTCTCACCCACCCTCGCCCCCACACACATATCAAAACGACCCCTCTACCCTTCTACCTAATACTCATTAACAGTATACCCAAGACCTCTGGCCCCTCTTCCCCCGTTGCTTCCCTTTCTCTTCTTCATTCCCACCTAGATTTATTTTCTTCTTTGTGTTTCTCCTCCCTGTACTCTAGGGTCAAGAATGATCTTGGCATCTCCACTTTAAAACATTGTGTGGAATTGTTTCTTTTATATCCCAGCAGAGAAACTATAGCAAAACTCTGAAAAATTAGATTGAAATTGGGAGAAGTAGTCAGTACATTTTCCTTTCTTAGAAGGAAAGAAAAGATTACTTATAAAGTATAGTTGAACCTTTTGTTAATTCTGTATTAATGGTAAGAGGGACCAAATAGGACAAGAATGTCAAATTTAGTAACTGTGAGGTTAAGATATGAAGGTAGGTCAGCTAAGTGCAAGGAACATTAAAGGAGACAAAATCTGGATCACTCCCTATTTGCTATCTTATGTAGAGATATCTTGGAACTTTTCTGCCCCTGAATCTTCCATCTGGAAATTTTCTTGAACTAAATTTCCTCTGAGTTATTATGTTTTTCTTTTGGTTTTTTGACCACACCTGATCATTCCTGGGAGTAGACTTAGTTCTACTGGGGATAGAACCTGGGTTTGCTGCATGCATGTACTTACCTCCTGTATTATCTCTCTGACCTGAATTCTTTTTAAATATTATATCATATTTAGTTGCAAGGATTTTGTGCCCTTTCACGAAGATTGGGAATGTTTTGCTTATTCTGACTGTTCTTTTAGGAGTAAGCGACTCACAATGAAGTCAAATTTAGTGTGCTTTTACTAGAAAGTTTTACTTTCATTTTCTTCCTTAAACACTTCTATTATGTCTCTGAAAGAAAATAGCAGCATGAAGATTTTAATAACCTTTGTATGCTTTGTTTTAGGTTGGTACAGAGGAGTTTCAACAAAAAAACCAAATGTAAAGGTAATTAAAGTTTATTGTTATATTTTCTAATGTAGGAAGCTACCTAGTATTTTTTGAAATATAAAAAAATTTTTGTTAACTTTTTACAATATCCCCACTCATTCTTTCCATTACAGAACTTTATCAAACTTTGTTTCAGGAGTATTAAAATCTTTTAAAAACAGATTATACTAGTACATGGGAAGGTTAAATGAAGTACAAATAAAATAATAGTCAAAATTTTCTGTTTAGTTTTTGTGTCATACTCAGCAGTACTCAGGGTTTACTCCTGGGGAGCTGGAGTGGTGTGGTGCTGGAGTGCTGGGGATTGAACCCAGATCAGCTGCATGTTGCTTGATATACTCTCTTTCCAGCCAGTAGACAAAATTTTAAAAAGGTAGGGGAGCTAATGGTGCTCCATAGGTGGTAGGGTACCTGCCTTGCAATGAATCCTTATTCTGTGTTTCTCTGTTTCTCTGTGTTTGATCCCTGGCACCATATCGTTCTTCAGCTAGATGTGGCACCCCCCCACCCAAAAATGAACATATGATTGTAGCTGAAAAATTTATTTGTAAATGTATGTTAATATTTGATAAAAATTAAATGGACACATTCTTAGACCTAATCCTTTGAACCATGTGATATTTTTTAATTGAAGTACATACTACATACTTTTAGTAATGTTCAATTATATATATATCTGTTTATGCTACTGTGATTTTTTTTTAAGTTTTGGGCCACACTGGTGGTGCTCAAGGCATACTCCAGGTTTTGTGTGCAGGGAACAGGAAACACTCTTGACAGTGCTCAAGGGACTGTATGTCATACTGGGGATCGAACCCAGGTTGGCTGTGTGCAAGTAAAGCTCCCTGCTCACTGTACTGTCTCTTCAGCTCCCTATACATAATTGTTAGAATATCAATTTAAGTAACACTTAAATTTTCGGAGCTGTAGAGTAAATTTTGCTTATTGTTATTATTGGCCGCTTGGTCAATGAAGTATCACTGTCACTGTCACTGTCCTCCTGTTGTTCATCGATTTGCTCGAGTGGGCCCAGTAACATCGTGAGACTTGTTGTTACTGTGTTTGGCATATCAAATATATCACGGGGAGCTTGCCAGGCTTTGCCATGAGGGCAGGATACTCTCGGTAGCTTGCTGGGCTCTCCAAGAAGGGCGGCGGAATCGAACTTGGGTTGGCTGAATAGTCTCATTCTTTTCTCTGGGGTATCGGTTCCACATGCCCCAGTGAATAAAGTTCAGGTTCCTGAGACCAGCAGCCGCTTCCCTGCTGGGTCCCCGGGAGCTGCCCCCCAGTGTTCGTGGACGGGGGTCCCTGTGGGAGCAAGGGGGAGGGATAGACAGCCCAAATGACAGAAATCAGCTCCTAGCTAACTTCTGGTCAATGAAGTATACAGAATATATTTTTTATTGGTAACTATAATACCATAATTATCTTTTTCAGTGATACATTTGTAAAAGTTTCTTTTGCTTAGTTTCTTCTGCTTATGTCAATAATAAAAGCTTTAATGTTTTCTTATAGATTAATATTTAACTAATTATTAATTAACTAATTATTAATTAATATTTAATAGACGTTACTGGGCCTGCTCGAGCAAATCAATGAACAGCGGGAGGATAGTGCTACAGTGCTATATTTTCTTATATAGAATAAGAAGAATATTACTACGTTAACAAAAACTATTTAGAATTCTACCTATTAGTTTGACAACAGAATTACTTATTTTAATAGAGCAATTATTGTAGAATACATTATTTTTATATTTACTTCCTTAAACGCAAGGCTTTTTGCCACTGTTGATATTTTAGGTCAGATAATTTGTGTTGCAGGGATACTGTCTTGTGTAGGATACTGTCTGTGCATAATAGGATGGTAGCAGCGTAGAGAAATTCTTTATTCAATAGATTTCAGTAATTCCTCTTTCCAAATTTTAACAATGAATAACCATCTTCAGACATTGCCAGAAAACACAGGTGTGGTGGTGATGCTGGTAAAATTGTCCCTGTTGGAGAACCATAGCTTATGAGTATATTCCTTGTATCTATATATTTTAAAATAACATTGTATAATATTCCATAACTGTTAGGCATGCATTATTATAAATCGGTATCTGTATGTTACATTAAATTCATCACTAAAAAGTCCAGTTTTATCACACTTTCAGTTATTTCCATCTCAGGAATGCATAAGCATAAATTATTTTGATGGTTTAAAAATTGTAAAGCTCCTTTTTAATGATATCCCATGCCATGTACTTGTGGGAATTGTGTTGTTGGCCACCTCACCATCTTGATTGTAATACTAGTGTTTGGGCATCACTGTAGAGATGATGCTGACTAAAATTGTTATTAAAATATCAAACAGAGGTAGAGTATGAGGCTTGAAAACCATGTTGTATGAGATGTAAATGATATCTTTAAAATATTATTTAATATTGTACAATTAAATCTTCCACAATGTAGAGGATTCCTTTAATATTTAGAGAAATTTAAAAATCTTTTTTTTCCTGTGCTTTCACTGGTATCATCTTAGCAGTTATACTGCATTATTATCTGTGGCTGTAATCATCTGAGACACAACTAATTCAAATGTCCAAGAAAATTTGCTTCTATGCCTGGCATCCAGATAGGAATGGCTGGAAGTCTGTCCCTATCTGACCACTGAAATAGCTTTTCCTTCAGGTCTAAAAGTTACTTCCTTTCCTTTCCCCAACAGGTTAATTAGAATTCTATTTTATGTTATTTGGGGTTGGGAGTTGGAAAGCATACGCAGGGAACTTAATCTAGTCTAGTCCAGAACCAGATTACTTCCAGCAGTGTCAGGGACCCATGCAGTGCTAGGGAATTGCACACAAGTTTTTCAGAGGCAAAACATATGATCTAACCATTTGAGCTATCTCCTCGGCTTCCTCAGAGTTCTAGTGTAGAATAAAGTGCCTAGAATCTATTTCTAGATTGTTTCTACAACAAAAGATTTAGAGTGTGAGAAGGATGGTTTTATGATTAATGCCAGCAGTGATTTTATAAGCTAATCAAAAGGAACCAAGTTACACAAACATAAAGTGAATGTTGGAGCTCATTTTATGTGATCAAGCTTCTGTAATTACTTGCCTTTGATTTGATGTGGTACTTATGATATTGTGTGTTTTGGTTATATCATCCGCATTCTAGATTCCTATATTATTGTAGCCTTTATTAGCAACACATAGCGGCATACCTCTTAGTTCTTATATTTATATTATATTAAACTTTTAAAACTAAGTAAAAAAATAGTATTAAAAATTAAGTTTAAGGATCAGACAGATAGTACAGCAGATACTATGCATGCGGCTGACCCAGTTTCCATAGCTAGCATCCCATATGTTTCCCTGTGCACTGTCTGAGTGCAGAGGCAGGAGTAACCCCTAAGCATAACTGGGTGTGGCTCAAAAAACAAAACAAATCAAAAGTTGTAGTAGTATTATTTTATGAAACCACAGTGAAAATTCTCCAATACTTATAAAACATCACTGTCACTGTCACTGTCACCCTGTTGTTCATCGATTTGCTCGATAGGGCCCAGTAACGTCTCCATCGTGAGACTTGTTATTACTGTGTTTGGCATATTGAATACGTCATGGGTAGTTTGCCAGGCTTTGCCAAGCGGGCGAGATACTCTCGGTAGCTTTCCGGGCTCTCTGAGAGGGGTGGAGGAATCCAACTCGGGTCGGCCATGTTGGCTGCGTGCAAGGCAAACACCCTACCTGCTGTGCTATCTCTCCAGCCCTTATAAAACGTAATCGCTTAAAGTGATTTAAAAATGTTTTCATATACATTGTGATTATGGTTGCAGTAAATAATTTTTGGGGCGTCTTACACCTGGCAATGCCAGGAGTTACTTCTGGTTCTCCACTCAGAGATCACTCCAGGCAGGGCTCAGGGGATCAATTGGGGTCCCATGGATCAAACCCTGGTTCACTGCATGGATGTCAAGGGCCCTATGTGTTGTACAATCAGTCTGGCCTCAATAAATAAATGCTTTAATGGTTTTGTAAAATAGTTATTAGTGGTAAAAAAGACTTTACTAGGGTGTCCTTTTGTTATGTATGATATACACTAATAAAAAAACTTAAAGTAGCCAGATAAAATATCTGAACTAGAAACAAATAAAACATGCAAAGATATTATTAAGTGGTAAAATATATCTATGAAACAGTTTTTAAAATATGAAAAGTTTTAAAACAACTTTCAAAGGTTGTTTTGATTTCTGCAAATTTTCCAATTAACATTCAAAAAGAAAAACTGATGTACTTTGTCAATGATTTTGTGACCTCATATTAAAATGATACTATTTATAATTTAAAAAAATTAATTTCTTTATTGATTGAGGTTCTGAAATTTATAATACTGTCCCTGGTGGTTCTCATGCACATGATTCTAACCCCATGCCCATCACCAGTGTATTGATATATCCTCCCCCAAGGTCCTTTCCATCTCCTTGCACTCATATAACTCAATTGTAGACCAGTTCTCCTTTTGTTTTGTCTTTAACCTTTTGTTGCTACCTTGCTGTCTAGCTTTCCATATATGAGTGAAATCATTCTGTATCTATCCGTGTCTTTTTGACTGACTTTAGTCAGCATGAAAATCCTCTAGTTCTATTTTGCTGCAAAATTGCATGATTTTGTTCTTTCTTAGAGCTGTGTAGTATTCCATTGTGTATATATTTCGAATTTAGTAATTTTGTATTTGGGGGATAGATGCCAAGAAGTGGTATCATTGAATTGAATTATGTGGGAGTTCTGTTTCAATTTTTTTGAAGGTATCTCCATATTGATTTCAATAGAGGTTCAACTAGATGACATTCTGACTCATAATTTTTAACCACACTCTTGTCAACACTGATTGTTTTCATAAATTTTGATAAGTGCCATTCTTACTGGTGTGAGATATCTCAATATTGATTTAATTTACATTTCCATAGTAGTGAAGATGAGCACTTTTTCATATACTTTTTGGCCA